CAATTTGCATTTTGCAATAAAATTTACAAGGTATTCTAGCATTTTACTTACAGTAACATTGCGCCGGAATGGCTATACATACTTGTCTCGTGACTTATATATATCTTGTGACGTATATATGTCCGACCAAATTTAGTGGTGTTGGTAAAAGTCCGACCAAATTCAAGTTATGTCCGACCAAAATTAAAAGTGATCGGACAAATGTCCTGTCAAGTCAAATATTTATTTGCAGCCCTGTTTACAACAAATGTAATATTACTTTCTGTGCTTATGCTAAGCCACCCCGTCAACTTTCCCCGTGGGAGGAAACCGGGGTACTCGGAGACGCTCGGCTTTCGGCAGAGCGTCGACTGACTCTTTTCACATAAGTCCGTAGCGAGAATCGAACCCACGAACTCAGAAGTGAATCGCGCTTACTCTGATGACTGCGCCACCGAAGCCCCTTTAAAATAAAAAAATGGAATTAAAAATGTTGGCATTATAAACCGTGCGCCATGTTCACAATTCCCCTACGACTACTCTTTAGATAACATGAATCTACAGTATGTCAAAAATTGCGTTACAAGTTGCGGCAAGTTGCGTCGCGTACATGGGCTTTAATATATACGTCCAGGTACGATAATTATTTGTCTATTCTTTCAAACGACACGAAACAATAAAGAGCATATTTTTCAAGCTCGCCCGGTGTGGATATACACTCAGAGTAACATCACAAGCATCAATAAAGAGCTTTCTCAAAAAAAAAATTTCCTTTAATTAAAGAAGATGAAAATCAAAATTATATGCATACCACGTCACAGGTATACATGCGTATATCCCGAACATAGGCGTATCGGCCGGGGGGCATGAGGGGGGGGGCAATGCCCCCCAAATTTTTTACGGTCAGGCAGAAATCCATGCGTCATTCGGGCAAAACTGATAAAAATTTCGGAAAAATTAGGTTATGCATATGTCCGGAAAATTTTTTGTATGTGTGCGAAAATTACGGGATATTATTTGTGACCTCCCCCCCCCCCCCCCCCTCCGCTCGCCAACAATTTAGGGGAGAAATATTAATTAGTGATTGTCGGGCAAACTAATACTGTACCCCCGCAAACAAGGTTAGGCCCGTACGCCCTGCATGATCCCGAAACA